AATGCGATGTATTCCTTCTGCAACTCTCGGATCCTGAAAGGATTTTGTCTGGCCAGCTGCTTTCACCTTTAGTGTGACGGGGTAAAGGAAAAACTCCACTCCTTTATTACGGGCTGTGTTTATGGCACAAGAGAAAGCCTGGCGTCATTTCACAGTGTGGCTGCTGTTGTCTGGAGAAAAGCGAATATTTCGTCCATCAATGGTGACAGGAGATTTTTTAGCAGTATGCATGATGTCGGGTTGTGTAGCGGAGGACATTGAAGATCATCATGGGCCCTCCTGCTTTTTATCGTTGGTGCCGTAGACCTGATGACCTCATGATTTCACCGTGAAGTTTACTGAGGGAAGGGAAGGGGAAGGGAACCATTTGGGAAGCGAGTGTGTGAGATATTGAGCTGCATTACAGGCCTTCAGTCTTTCTGGCAGGTGCAGGTTTGCATCTCCTGCTGCAATCCTCCATGTCCGCGAGCTTAAGCTGCATGGTCTCTAGCGGAGCATCGTGGGTGGCAACTGCTCACTGTTGTTTTGACCGAATCTTGCCAATATCCACGTTAATTGTGTTGATATTCTCCTCACTGTCCTTGTCCATTTTTTGGAGTTGGTTATAGCGAAAGTCAAGGTAATCATGTTGTTTCTCCAGCACAATTTCTGCTAGTGCCTCCATTTCACACTTCCCTCTCATCTTCAAACAAATGCTGGTAGATGGTAGTTTTTTGCTTGAATCAACCATTGCTATATTAACTATGCTAAATTTAGCCGAAAAGATGTTAGAAAGCTGTCTCAGTGCTAAACATTAATACAATTAACAACCCTGAGTTGAGCCGATCAGATCTATGCTGCCGTCTTGTCGAGCTGATCACGTGACCCCCCCCCCTCCAAAAAAAAAAAAAAAAAGAACCCCGTCCCAACACCATCCCAACTGTGACGCACAGGGTGGCAATATTGTGTTGTGGGATGTTTTGCTGCAGGAGGGACTGGTGCACTTGACATCCGTTTCAGGGCAAGGCACACTTTTCTGAACGTTCTGCTGCAGTTACCTTACTGAAGTGCTCTGCATCGCCGACATTGTACAAAAAACTTCCATTTTAGTGAGGAAAAAATCTCAAAATCTGCCAACTAAGTCGTTACCAAACAATTTCTTCACCAATATGTTTGTAAAGGTGTGTAATAACATGCCTTAAAATGTTGAAGTTCAACTCCCGTGGGAAACCCTGGAAAAAAACCTGCTCAAGTTAGGGTAACGATTGTCGAAAAATCGATTTTTTCAAAATTGGGCCTTAAGTAACTCATGAGGGGTCAAATCAGGGTTTGTTCATGATTCTGAGTTGACTGTTAGCATTTATATTTCACCACAAACACTCCACTGTTGAAAAAGGCCACACTCACGTTTACATTTACATTCACAGTTGCTTTTATTTCACATACTTATACACAGCTCAAAAAAATAAAGGGAACACTAAAACAACACATCTTAGATCTCAATGAATTAAGTATACCAGTTGACAAGCTTTATCCATTACATAATGGAATGCATTGAGAACAAAACACAAAAATGATCAATGTAAATCTAAATTATTATCCCAGGGAGGTCTGGATTTGGAATCATACTCAAAATAAAAGTGGAAAATCACATTACAGGCTGATCCAACTTCAGTGGAAATCCCTCCAGACAAGTCAGAATGAGGCTCAGTAGTGTGTGTGGCCTCCACGTGCCTGTAGGACTTCCCTACAACGCCTGGGCATGCTCCTGATGAGGCAGGATGTTCTCCTGAGGGATCTCCTCCCAGACCTGGATTAAAGCATCATCAACTCCTGGACTGTCTGTGGTGCAACATGGCGTTGGTGGATGGAACGAGACATGATGTCCCAGATGTGCTCAGTTGGATTCAGGTCTGGGGAACGGGCCGGCCATTCCATAGCATCAATGCCTTCATCATCAGGAACTGCTGACACACCTTAGCCACATGAGGCCTAGCATTGTCACGCATCAGAAGGAACCCAGGGCCCACTGCACCAGCATATGGTCTCACAGTGGGTCTCAGGATCTCATCCCAGTACCTAATGGCAGTCAGGGTACCTCTGGCTAGCCCATGGAGGGCTGTGTGGCAATCCAAAGAAATGCCTCCCCACACCATTACTGACCCACCAAACTGGTCATGCTGGAGGATGTTGCAGGCAGCAGGTCTCCAGACTCTGTCACGTCTGTCACATGTTCTCAGTGTGAACCTGCTCTCATTCGTGAAGAGCTCAGGGCGCCAGTGGCGAATCTGCCAGTCTTGGTCAAATGCCAGTCACCCTGCACGGTGTTGGGTTGTAAGCACAAGCCCCGCTGGTGGATGTCAGGCCCTCATACCACCTCATGGAGTCTGTTTCTGACAATTTGAGCAGAAACATGTATATTAGTGGCCTGCTGGAGGTCATTCTGCAGGGCTCTGGCAGTGCTCCTCCTGGTCCTCCTGCACAAAGGAGGAGGAAGCGTCCTGCTGCTGGGTTGTTGCCCTCCTACGTCTCCCTCCACATCTCCTGGTTTACTGGCCTGTCTACTGGTATCTCCTCCAGGCTCTGACACTGTGCTGAGAGACACAGCAAACCTTCCTTGCCACAGCTCGCATTGATGTGCCATCCTGGATGATCTGCACAACCTTAGCAACTTCTAAGGGTTGTAGACACCGCCTCATGCTACCTGTAGGGGTGAGAGCACTGACAATATGTAAAAGTGATTAAAACATCAGCCAGAAAAGATGAGAACAGAGACATGGTCTGTGGTCACTCCCTGCAGATTCACTCCTTTATAGGGGTTGTCCTGCTAACTGCCTCTCATTTCCACCTGTTGTCTGTTCCATTTGCACAACAGCAGGTGAAATTGATTCAGAATCAGTGTTGCTTCCTTACAGGACAGGCTGATTTCACAGAAGTGTGATTGACTTGGAGGTACATTGTGTTGTTTAGGTGTTCCCTTTATTTTTTTGTGCAGTGTACAATACTCAGAGTTATTTCTCATTCACAGTATCAGAAGCTTCAAGAGTCATTGTCTATGTCTTCTTCAGACTCAACAACATCATGACTGCAGTTTCTGCATGTGTAATGCCTTTACAGATTCCACAGGCCGAAATGCACGTGACCCCATCTGTCTTGCAGCTGGAGATGTCCACGTACTCATCCATGTCCCCTGCATATGTTTTCCGCACATGTTTTGTGCAGGGAACATGGATGAGTACATGGACATCTTCCTTGACACAGAAGCCACCAAGGAGGCAGTGATTCAGGCTGCGATTTTCCAGCACATTTATCACGGAGCAGATACTACATTGGTTGAAATTTGGTACATGTTCTCAAGGAGGGCTGAAAGGTGGATTGGTGGTTAGCACCATCGCCTCGCAGCTACAAGATCGCCGGTTCGCTTCCCGGTGAGGACACCCAGGATCTTTCTGTGTGGAATCTCCACGTTCTGCCAGTGTAGCGTGGGTTCTCTCTGGGTTCTCCGGCTTCCTCCCACAAGTCCAGAAACATGTTGAGGTTAATTGGTTATTCTAAATTTTCCGTAGGTGTGAATGTGAATGTGCTTGGTTGTCTGTCTCGGGAGTTGAACTTCGACATTTTAAGGCATGTTATTACACACCTTTACAAAGATATTGGTGAAGAAATTGTTTGGTAACGATTTAGTTGGCAGATTTGTGAAAAATCTCATAAAATGCCCTTCCTATTTGCAAAGAAATGCAGCGCAACACACAATAACTGCTGGGATACGAGAGCATGACTACGGTTGGTAATGGTGCACATGTAAGGACGGATTAGGTTGTGTATATGATGGACTGTGATGTGAAATGGTGCCGCTCAAAAGATAACTCTCTGGAAATGCTGGAACATCTATGCATGGTCTGATAACCATCTCCCGACAAATATTTAATTCCCTGTGCAGTAATGCTGCACCTTCATCCACGGGATTGTTATCAAAAGGACATGCCATGTTAGTGAAAAAAGTCACCACCTACTGTTCCTTCTATTATAGCCTCCTGACTGATTTTTTTAAAAATGATTTTTGACAGACGGCAGAACTAGGCTACGCCAAAACTCGCCTGCTGACTGACTGAATGAATGAAGAAATCAAATAGTGTGTGGCTGAAAGAGGGCAGAGACAGAGAGAAACTCGAAGTTCACTGAGAAAAACCTGGTCCCGACCAGGTTAGGTTCATAGAGTCTGTTCTACGGTAACTGACCGAGGCTTTAAGTTACCTCGCTCTGTGAACAGGCTAGAGTTACACCTGTTCCTCTGGTTTATGTTACCTCCCTTTGTGAAACAGAAAACTCAGAGTTTCCCTCATTTCAGGGTTAACAGACTTTCACTAACCCTGCTTTGTGAAACGAACCCCAGTCCTGTCAGGAGGAATGGGCCAGAATTCATCAAACTATTGTGAGAAGCTTGTGGAAGGAAAACCAAAATGTGTGACCCAAGTTATACAGTTTAAAGGCAATGCTACCAAATACTAAAGAAATATATGTAAACTTCTGACTTTGAAGAAAGTTATAAAAAACTCTCAAACAATCTCTCTCTCTCTTTGTTCTGACATTTAGCAAATAGAAATAATTTTGGTAATCCTAACTGACCTAAAACAGGAAAAGTTTGGTCTGATTTTATGTCAGAGAGAGAAAAAAAAGGTTATGTGTTTTTTATACAGTGGATGTAAACTTCTGGTTTCAACTGTAGGTGCATTTCTTGAAACTAAGGCCCAAAGACTCAGGAAACAAACAGGTCTGCAAATTGAACAGTTCAGATTGGTCCAGAAAATGTAATTCGTCTGATCTGACAGATCTAATAGCAATGAGACCTGAGTGACTGAAGTGCGACAAGTCTTTGATAAAAAGGAAGTGCTTGAGGAATTCACAAGGACTTTCACTCTCTACTACTTAACATTATTTACCAAATCAGCCGGCAGCAGCCTGATGATCTTTATGTGAAAAGATGAAATGATTTAAATTGTTGGATCTGTGTGTGTCTCCAGTTTCTATGCAGACTTTGGTCCTCTGAACCTGGCCATGTTGTATCGATACTGCTGCAAGCTCAACAAGAAGCTGAAGGTGAGTTTCTTCTGCTGCTGACTCTCCCTCTGCAGGCATGTCAAGAATGCAACAGGACAGACGAAGCATGACGCCACCTTATATTCAGACTGTGACACTTTGAATTTACTCTGTAACATTGAATTTTTAGTCATAGTAAATCTTCACTCTGTCAAACTCAGGATTCACTTTTTTATTTTAAGTGACAACTCTCAGGACAACAATCTAACTTTTGACACTTTTCACCTAGGTACGTCAGCGCAATATTTCGGCATCGTCACCTTGCCTTTTTGCACTAAATAATCTATTGTAAGACTTACCTTTTTGTCAGTTTTCATACACGTTGGTTTCTTAACACATGAAATGGTTGAAAACTGGAATGAGGCGCAGAAAAATCTTTTATTTTTTATTTTTTAGGGACAGTCTAGGACTTAAGTTAATAAATTGTTTGGCTCTTTGGCTGTATACCTCATGCGACAATAGGAACATTTTGGTCCTTTTCATGTTTTTGTTCGTTTGTTTTTTATAGCTATGGCTGTGTTATGCATATTGCACAAAATCTGGCAAAAGTGTTTAATTTGGGGGCTTTTTACCTCAGCTACCATAATATATCAATAATACACTCTGGACAAAACAGATGTACACTCAGGGCCTTACGGACAAAAATTTCCCCATTGAAACCCATATGAACTGCTATTTTTGATAGAGTTTTTGATTGGTGTTGCTGTTGCATAATGAAATCATGCATTCTATGTTATTAGGCTTTCATTCTGGAGTTGTGGCTTTAAAATTGTCATTTTTCCAGATCTTTCACTCAATTGTGTAGTTTTTTCATCTTTGGAGCAGATACAGGCTTTATTCATTTTTTGCTTTCTGCTATCTTATAGAACACTGAGGCTAATGGAATAAATGTATACAAATAAAATGGTTTGGGAATGTTGGTAGGGATGTCACAGTATTGTGTGTATGTGTGTATTCGGAAATGTGTGTGAGCGCGCGCGTGCGTGTGTGTGTGTGCATTTAGAGATACAAAAATTCTAATGTACTGCATATCACAAAATCCACCCGACTGCCTCTCTCTCTCTCGCTCACATATATCCGCACCTTTACTCACTTATCCGTTCACACACACATGCATGAACATGCACACAGGTCTACAGACTCAACAGAATATAATATGTCATACCTCTAAGATGCAGTTCTTATTTATATGTGTTACAATAGACATTTGAAATATGAAGATGTATGTGTGCCTGTGTGTGTGTGCTGACAGTGTGTTCATCTTAAACTTTCAAGGAGTGTGTGTGTGTGTGTGTGTAAGAGTGGTGGTGTGGTTTGGGGTGTGTGTGTCTTTGCTGGGGGCTGCTTCTGCAGGTGTGTGACTGCATGTCACATGGGGTTGGAGATGCATTTTAAATCCTACCTGAAAAAGATGGAGAGAAAGTTGACAACGCAAAAAGCTCTGGAGCCAATCAAGCAGCCTCCTGACACCGATAGAGAGTCAGATGACTCTGAAACTGAGGGTGAATTTTCTTCAATTGGGAAAAATAAATCTTAGGTAGTAGGCCAGTCAGAAGCTAAAAACTATGATAGGACAGTTTAACAATAATTAGCATTTTATGGACTATAATTTAACATGAGATTCTAAATTCTTATAATAAACAAACAAAAAAAGGAGATTATAAAATCTTATATGAAACAAACAAACAAAAAAGGATCAATGCCGGTGCTAATCATCAACACATTTCAGAATGTGATAATCCCGTGATGGTGGGTGGTGTGATGTGACCGATGTGCATGTCGAGACTCATGCAGTTTAGAGTGTGGAGTGTAACCCAGGTTGTTTTCTGAAGCTACAGTTTACACATATCTCTAAATGCCTCACATGCAAGCTACCAGTGCATGCTACATGTTACTGAAGTCCTCTAAATGCCTCACATGCATTGCTACATTGTACAATTTACAGATGTTCTTGAACTCATCACAAGCATTGGAAACTGCTACTAGACAGCTGTGCCCAGAGCAATCCAAACTCAGTTACTGCAGCATAGGCAGGTATGTGGACAAACAGAAGAGTGAAATAAGGCGTCCTTATGTCAGATCTACCTCTGTTGAAACAGAGTGATTTTATCTACCTGGAAGAGATTCCCAGAGACACGCAGACACACTTGCTAGAGTCAGGCGCACCAGTATAACCAATGAAAGTTTACAGATTTTTGCTGGAAACCGAAATCTGTCACACAGAACATTTACTTTGTCTTGGTTATTTGGTGTTTCAGCTCCTCCTTCAGAACAGCTCTCTGTTTTCTGTTTAATGTATGTTACCATGGTGATCACATTCCTGTCTGTTGTCATTTGTCATGTCAACAGTCGACTGGACAGTTTGCATGCACACCCTGCATTCAGTCTCCTTCACACTCACAATGAGGCTGACGTTTAACAGTTTGTATACTGTGTGTCAGTTTACAGGTGAGACACTGGTATTTTGGTAACTGTTATGACGCAAAGGCAGCATTAACCAGCATTAGTACTTGCATTGAATTTCCAAAGACAGTGTTTCAGCCGTGTTTTTTAGATCAGTCCAGCCTTCTACACCACAGACGGTACTAAAAATGGACATTGCAAGCCGTATGCTACCTTCTTTTTGCAGTAGAGCTGAAAGAAGCCTAGACAATGGCTTAATAGTTGAAAGTATCTTTTCTGGCTGGAATTGGGACCCTTCAAATAAAGGACGATGGAGTAGGGGAAGTGACACAGATTAGGGAAACCTGATTGGAAGACATAGCTGACTTGTACAGCACCATTGGTATGTTAGCTAATGGGCAAGGTGCATTGTTCACATTCTGCCTAACGCTGTAACTGCATGAAGTGCATTACAGTTGGAAACCAAAAGGAAAATAAACGTTTACTGTCAGTCTAATTACCTAAAGAAAAGGCTAGAATTACAGTAAACTGTAAACTGAATAAAACAAGCTAACCAACCAGCAAATCTGTCAGTGGAAAAAGTTTTGCTCACTGCAGACAGGGCACTTTTTCAGATTTGCTTATTTATTTGGGATCACATGCATTGAGTTTGGCAGTGACTCTGCTCGTGATGCTCTGAGCAAGCATGACACAGATAATCCCTGAGATCACAAAACCCAGCAGAGCCTTGGATTTACAATTTACAATTTTTCAAATACAGTATGAACACAAGAACAAGGAGACCATCTAAACAGTCTTAACTTTACAGAATCTAGATGACATAGTCCAAGGTACAATAGTGAACCATCTGCAACCTACAGTCCCACGATGTGGGAAACACCGGGGTTATATAAGATTGAACTGTTTTTAAAGGTGGTGGTTGGGGAGGAGGAGGAGATTTGTCGATCTGCAGAGCTGCAGTAGCAGCGATGTGGTGAGCATGAAGCGGGCAGAATGAATGAACGCTGCCTGAGTTATATAGCATGCTAAGTGGGTGGGCTGGACTTTAGCGATGAATGATTGGACAGGAGGGGCCATGTGACACCCTGACTCTGTGCCTGTCTGAACTAACGCGAAGCTCTATTGCACCAGCAAATGATGACAAAATCACTGAACAAAAGCAACTTGAGTTCACCAGTGAATTGGCCTCCTGACCTGCATCGCCCAAACAGGATGACCAGACATGTCCATCTGCCCAGTCACATCACCAAACTTTGAGCCCTAATATCTACTTAATGCTGTAAATATTCTTAAAGTGGACACTAGCACACTAATCTGTAGGTGTGACTTTAACTAATGATATCGCAATTACTTTGACATCTTAATCAAATGTTAAAACTCTCCCAAATCAAAATTTTCAGCGAAATAATACATCAAATCCCAGTGGAGTTAAAGAGGAAGAGAAGAGGTTGCAGGGCAGGGATAAGGCAGAGAGAAAAACGGTGGAGATTTAAACCGTTTCTTCCAACTGTTGTGATGGGTAACGTAAGATCGCTAGCTAACAAGATGGACGAGCTTGAGATGCTAACAAGGTCTCGAAAAGAGTACAGAGAGTGCAGTATTATGTGCTTCACTGAGACATGGCT